CCGAGCATTTTCAACTTCTTCGAAAATTCATTTTCTTGAAAATCAAATTTATTTTTGAAAAAATAGAAAATAAACGTTGTCTAATTTGTCATAAAATCGTCTAAGATTTCATAAACGTGCTAAAATCAATTATAATTTTCAAAATCGATTTTTTATAAATTAGCAAATAAAGCGGATTAACAGTGTAGCTACATATCTAACCAATTATAACGATCTAACTAAGTGTTATTTAACTATCCAACTAACTATCTATCCAGCTACCTATCTAACTAATGACATTTACCATTCTGAGTAAAAAATATCAAGAGAAATAACTTATGAGACCGGTTTTAGGTGTTTAAAAGTTGAAACAACTGGAGTCTGCCGGAGTCTTAAATTTACAGTTAAATTTAAAAACTCGTTGAAAAAGAAACGTAAAAACAAAGGTTTTCTCCTTTTATTTAATAGAAACAAGTGCCAAAGATCGGCAATTCGACCCTCAATCCAGAGCCAGAGCCGCTTCAGACCTGGATGCAATTTTTCACGTAGCCGGAGAAATGTTGATTTGACAGAGTCAGCGACAAAGAGCATCTGATTCGTGCACAATTCACACTTTCTCATACGCGTCAGCAACAAGCTCTCTACCGAAAAATACAAAAAGTGTGAAGTGTGGAAATAGTAAGAAAATAATCAGAATCGCTCGCAGAGATAGTGATGAGTGATGAGTATTCAAACAAATAAAGCTATATTGATTGATTCACCCCGGTATCGATTATGTAGGAGTATATTACAGAGGTATATTACGAAACCACTTCGACTGCGAAATCTTGAAAGGGTATAACACAAAATCTCTTCGCTCACTAAACCTTGATGAGGTTTCGTGGATTCGCACCATACCTAACAAGGTATGGGAAAGTTCTACGGTACACCACAAGTTTCGTATTCAACTTTTTTATTGAGAGTACATCACAAATGAAGGAAAATTGTACATTTCCACATGCCTGAACAATGAAATGTTACTTTTATGGGAGGGAAAACGCTTTCTGAACAGTTTTTTCTATTGAATAGACCTTCTTTAATTTTTTTTAATTTTATTTGTCTAACTTTTGCTCACTATCGCTATAAAGAACAGCGCTCTCTTATCTTATTGAATTGTGTTCTAATCGCAACCATCATTCTTATAAAACCAGAAACTCTGCTACTAAAAATGCTCCTACTTTTTTTCGAATCGATTATAAAAAAAAATTTACTCTTTATTTCAATTTTCTATGCAAATAAATCAAAATAATGTTACTACAGACACTTTTAGTCGTTTTTTGTCTCATGAGATAGAGTCGTCCAAATCTCAGCTAAACTTAAATATAACCTGTATAGAAAATAGCCAAAAGATAGCCCACAGATTGAGAATCATTTTGATAAAAAAAGTAAAAGATCACTGCTCTCCTTACTGTAAACAATAACAGTTGCTTTTCTAGAAACAAGCTTTAATCACACTAAATGTCCCGCGAGATCTTCGATTTTGTTTTTCTGATAGCTCTGTTAATACTCAACATTTCTCAGCGATTTTCTTATCCTTTTTCGTCGATGATGTTCTCTCAAAAAGAAAGGTGCCGCACGGAAATTAAAAAGGGTGTCGAGAATTGAAACCATTTCTACACCTTTTATAGATTCGGTACGAACAAGGTTTCGTACGATACCTTTTTCCCCTGCTTTCAAAAAAGGTTCCGTAGAAGTTTCTTATAAACTCGTAGAAGTTTTGTACGGATTCTATGTATGTATTTCATATAGTTCCCTTTTGTATATTTGTCTTGAAGTATTTATTTCTACTGTCTAGCAACAAAAACAACCGAAAAAATGCAAGTATCACTAATGAAAAGCCACTACTTATGCACAAAACTTGTTGTTTGAGAAAAAAATCATCTTCTAATAAAATTACGCGTGAATATGGATTGTCAAAATAGGGTAAGAAAAAATATTATCAAAAAAGTTAGCTGACTTCGCATACTGTAAAAGCATATGACATTACCAAAGACACGAAAACGAGAGGGCAAAAAATCAGGGCAGTTTTTGACGCTCTTTCAAGTGGAATACGTCTCTTTATGCGTCATCGCTTTTATTTTTGCGCTGATACGGTGTGAGAAAAAAATGTGAAAATTTGGCCGAAAGGAGCAAGATACTCTTGGCCCGATAAGGCCATATTGCCCCTTCGGGCAATATATCTTTACTAAACTCTAAAAATAGTCGTAGATGAATAAACTATCAAAAAGGGTTTTATAAGACCAATAAACCTTTTAAAATATCCTTTTCAGTTTTTTTGTCGAATCTGAAATACCAGCTAAAAAACTCTTCAGTTTTTTGTAGACTCTGAAAAAATAGTTAAAACGAATATTACCAAATAATTTTTTATCAAAAATTTTTAGCTAGTTTTTTAGAGTCTACAAAAACTGAAGAGTTTTTTAGCCGGTATTTCAGATTCGGCAAAAAACTGAAAAGGATTTTTTATTCTTGATAAAAAACCGCCCGTTTTTTATTTTGCATCTGTCACGAACGCTTTTTAGTCTTTTGGAAATAAAAAACGGAAAAGCGTTTTTTAAAAGGTTTATTGGTCTCAATAAACCCTTTTTGATAGTTTATTCATCTACGACTATTTTTTAGAATGTACTCGCGAGACTTACATATTGCCACGAAATGAATTTCCTGGTAGCACGAAATAAGCATTTTTAAAGCATCGATCAATACTATTTTATTTGAGAGACAGATTTTATTTGATCATATTACTGGAATTTAATCTATGATAAAAAATCAATTTGTTATTAAAATGATATTAGTTACTTCTTGAGAATATTTGATACAAAAAAAAGGAAATAGTTTGCCACATCTATATAAGAAGGTTATGTAAAAGTATCAATTAACATAATTGAGAAATCGTACTAACGAATTTCTTCTTGTTAATATGAATTGTAATGTATTAATGGTTTTTTGTGCAATATTATTTGCAGCAAATATTGACCGTAGTCATAGTAATGGTCAGATGATTGGGACAAAACAACAGTGTCAATGTAAATGTGTTAATAAAAGTAAGTGCAATTTCTAATAGACAGACATCTGACCAAAGAAACGCCATCTTTTGCCAATATTCTTGCCAAATGAGACGCACTAATAAAAGAAAGGGTATCATTTTATTCACAAATTTTCAAGTTCTTCAAGGTTATTGGTGTGGTGTCTTACCGTGAGAAAGTCATCTATCTAATGGGCGGAGTTCAATGAAAATGTCATTTTAAGATGAATACGACATTTTCGGCAAGCAATGTTTACTGTATTTTATTCACAGCTGCACCATTGATTTGTCCATTGCCATCCAATGGAACAAATGATGCGACTACAACTGATCTGTGTACTGTGCGTCCTAGATCTCCCTATATAAGTAATGGTTCTTCTGGTAATACTCCAACCTGTTATACGACTGTCGATAACCAGAATGTGTACGTTTATCCTGGATATTGTAATTATATATGTAGAAGTAACTGTGATTGCGGACAAGACGGTGTCTGTGTTAATGTTTCATCCAAGGAATGTGGCACACCTCCGTATTATGCATGTGCTGTTATAATGAATGGACAAAATTGTAACAAAACGTTAAGACCAGCGAATGGAATAAATACAACTGAAGGAGCAGGTAAGAAAGAAGGTTTAAATGACAGAAAAATTAAGTTTGAATAGTCTTACTAGGCCAGTATTGCCAATATAAGTCTATTTTTCATGCCCCAAAAATTACAGAAAATATCTTTTTTCAAGTACCTTCGCCGTCTAGTTTAACCTTCTGATTTCATACAGTCTAAAAAAAGATAGAATTCCGTAACGCTTGGCTACGCTGTCATGCAGCTTTACAACAGTATTCGATGAATTTTTTTCTTTGTTTTCAGGAGGAACACCATTTGGTGGCTGTTTTTTTGGCCAAGATGAAGTGTTACTTCTAAATGGACACCATCGAAAAATTGAAGATTTAAATGTTGGTGATCGTATTTATACAATGAATAGTTACAACAATAAGATTCAAGAAGACGAAATCATAATGATGATGCATGTAGACAAAAGAATAACAGGTATTAAGTTCATAGAAAAATGACAAAAAAATGGTGTAGTTTGTTTTAATGGTGAATCTCTGACAATATAACAAAGTATTGAAACAGTTATATATATAGATCAATGCAATTTTGCACGCTCTATCCAAATATAATGATCTAATAATAGAGAAAAAGACGACCGTTTTTGAGATTGATTGATTCATCAATTTTTATTTCGACAACAGCAGTTTTGTACAGAAAACTTGCTATCGATGTTGCTGTCGTCCCTTTTACTCCGAATTTATGTTCAATAGAAACAGAATTTACTGATCAGTTAAATATACAACTTTTAGTGCAAAAATGGAGAGATATGAAACCAGGATGACACATTTTACTTTAATTTGCTTTGTGCTGAAGTATATAGAGTTAGATAGAAGGAAAGTCAGTCTTGCTTTAGAAGAAAACTGCTTAGAATATTTATCTTTGTTTTTTTATTTTTACTCCAATTTTTAAAAGCATAAAAATTTACTCCGAAATAGACTTTGCCCCTCCTGCCTCCGAGGTATCGGGGCGTCCCTGGTATGTAGGGGGAAGACTTTTTCCAAATTCCTGCGAAAGTACCCTATATAAATTTCAACTCTAGTTCCTTCTCTTCGAGAAATAACAGGAAGAATCTCACGAAAGCTTAGACAAAATTACTTTTCTTGGTTATTTGGTGACACTGTATGGAGCCAAACAAAGGAAAAAGAGTGAAAAATACGATTTTCTTCAAGGGGGAAAAAGCAGCACTAGTGCTGGAAAAAGTGCGCTAAGTGCCGGAAAGTGCTGAACGCTATAAGATAGTCAAGTGTGAGAGTTTGTGCTTCCTAATATTCAAGATGGTGGAAGGTCAGATGTTCGAATGTACTCTAAATCACTTTTTTTTCAAATTTTTGTTTTGTTCTCGTTGGATTTCAATTACTTTTTTCATACAGAATCTGTATTCAACTTTTTTTTTGTGAATTTAAGAGAAATGTCTTTGAAAATAGAGAATCGATTTCAATTTTATTCTGCAGAAAATGCTTGATCTACCTTTTCTGTTCTCGTTCTTTTGACTTCTGGGGTTCTCTTCCTCCTATAGAATTTCTTTTATGACTACATCAAGTTCTACTTCTGGCACTTTGATATTTTGGGTTTAAAACCTGATCAATTTCTAATGTGTTTGTGGAGCAAGAATATGGAGAATACATTAGAAAAATTTTACAATTTCAACTTCTCGATGCAGTAAACGACGTTCAGGCAACAAGTGTAGATGTTCTCAGTATATTCTCTAAAAGTCAAAAATCCAATGATCAATGATATTCAAAAACAATAGACGATATCGGAGCGAGTGGCTCTGAAATAGAAAACTCCAGTTCAGAAGAAGAAGACGAAGAAGATTTATTGGATAATTGCTGGGACGATGAAATAGATGACCAAGGTCATTATAGTGAAGATAATTTATCAAATGAAGACGATGATGAATATGTTTTATCGAGAGATTTATCTCAAACACAAAGAGCGTCATTTTCTGGTATCCGGGTGTTTGACAAAATCAATCCAAAACGATCAAATTCTTATTTTCATGTCAAGATTGGCGACAAATGGAAATACTTACACAAACAATCAGCATGTTGGCGCTGCTAACAGACAATGAAACACATTCATCCAGTGATAGACTGAAACATGTCATTGAATCTGGATAACAAGAATAAACAATGTGTTTTTTTATTGAAGTTCAAGAACTTTTTCCACTTTATGAAAGGAAAAGGATGAAAAAAAACAAAGAAAATGGTGGGATTTGAATACACAGCCTTATCCGCCATCTTGAATTTTTAAGTGCTGAAAAGTGCTAGTAAGTGCTGAAAGGTGCTAGAAAGTGCTATCCATAAAAAGTGCTTTTTCCCCCTTGATTTTCTTGCATTGATTTAGATACAATTTTTTTTCACTGAAAACAACCGTGGTCCGCTCTTCTATTTATTTTTAGCATTATTTTATACAATTGAAACTATTACCGGCCATCGTATAACGGTTACACCAGATCATTATATTCGTATTTCAAATGGAAAATATTCATCAGCCGAGCAATTGACTTTAAATCATTTTGTTTACATTCGTAGTGAGTCTTCATTATATCCTGTACAAATAAAATCCATAATAAAATCTTACAAAAAAGGTTTATACGCACCGGTAACATTAAGTGGTACATTATTAGTCAACGGCATTGTTGCATCATGTTACGTTAATGTGTTTGATGGTACACATGATATGATGCACATGGCACTCTTTCCAATTCGTCTATGGTATCGTTTATGGAAAAGAGGATCATACAGTCATCATGATAATGTTGAAAATGGTAATGCTTATCATTGGATAATTAAAATAATGATTGATTTTCATGAAATTGTTCGTTTCATCTGGTCTTTAAGTGTAGCTTTGACAATTTATTTTGGTATGGAATTCCTTGTTCAAGTTTCTTATCTTGTACAAGCTTTTACAAGTAAAAAGGTGCTTTAAAACAAATAAATCTCATGTTTTCTTAGTTTTTAAGGGTAACAAATAAACTTCAGACGGCATCGACATTCGCATCTAAATGGCATCTTTTAGTGTGCTAAGAAAAGTGGCAATCAATTAGGTCGTCGAAAATAGGTTTCCACCGTCTATGCGTTTTTTCTTAAACCTACTTAGTAGCAGCACCTTTTGCGTAGAAGACGCATATTAACGCTCTTATTCAGAATGTGCGTTGCTGTTGACCTTCAGCCACATTTTTTTGTACTGTATGAGATGTATTTAGGAAAACTGTTGCAAAAATTGACGAGACTCAAGGGGATTTTGAGGATATCTTCTTGTCTTCTACATCGAATATTTCGGGAACGGAACGACCTAGATAGCTCGAGTTTGCATTGTTAAATCCAAACCTTTTTGTGATATAATTTGATGATAAAAAGATGTATTCGTTGTGGTCAAACTCAGAATTCGGCTAGATTCCCAATTTGGCCAGCCAAAACTAGAATTTTGCTCTTGTCCAGCTAAACTTAGCATCGAAATGCCTACACATTGAGAATTCCGAATTTGGCCAGCCTAAACTGGAATTGTAACTATGACCGGTCAAATTCAGAATCTGACTGAACAAAAGTTAAATTCTAATTTTAGCCAGATCAGGATGAATCGAAATTTGGAATTAGAAATGCTTACTTGATAATAGGAGTCAAACACACAGGAAGCTTACTACACAAAACAACAACACGACAAGAATTAAAGAGCATGTTTCAGATCAAAACAAGCTCATTTTCTCTAAAAATACTAGTAACACCAAAAAGAAATCAGCCATCTCAAAGTCTTATAAACCACAATCATCAACAGTTAAACCTAAATCAGATCCACTAACAAGATCTCGGACTGGAACACTTCCTGCAACGATTAAAAAGATAGATAATGGGGTGTTAGATGATATCCTCGCTACACAAATGACAGTCATTGATAACCCTAAACAAAAGGTCACAGCAAAATCAGTTATCGCTAA